ACTGAGATGCCTCCTAAGCAGTTCAGCCCACAGATACCTGGCGGTCCTACTCACCCCTCTTTGAACCTTGTCAACAGCTAGTCAACTTGCCAGGAAGAGCTTGGTCTGCCATGTGTCCTGGGAGGTAGTCAAGCTGGGCTACTCACCATTCCATGGTCTGGAACTTACCTAGTCTTCCTTGAGGTTCTTGGCTGACCCTGACACCAGGAAGCAGATTGGAAGCCCTCCCTGAGCAGACTGCCAATCCCCTCCCCACACACCCCCAGCCCTACTGAAAGGTTGTGCAAAGACAACTTTCCAGGTCAGATACAGAGACAGGAAACCACCCGGGCCATCAGAATGGTCCTCACACACTCAAATGTACACACCCTTCACACTTTGACAGCTACACACCACCTGCATGTGTTTACAGACTCCAAACCCAAGCAACATTACCATCAGCAAACTTGCATGTAACTGCTGCATCCCAGAAATCCCACAAACCCCTCTGCTGCCAACCCTTGTGCCCAGTTTTTTATCAGTCACATACATTTCCAACATGTATTATAGCTGATGAAGCTACACAGGCAATTACTGTGCCAACTTAGCCTACTTGAGCCACAGGAGACTCACAGGAAAGCTCTCAAGTTGCTAGCCTGGAGTGCGCAGTTCAGCAGCAAAAAGCAACAAGACAGACCCTGCCCCCACAAGGAGGAAGAAGAGAACTGACTCCCACATGCCCACCATGGCTGAAGCACGCCCATACAACCAAGAATAATAAAGAACACATTTGTAAAAAGAAGAGCTTGGACAATCAGTGGGTCAGCGAAGAAATCAAAAAGAAAATTCAGAATTGCTTGAAACAAATGAAAATGGAAATACAACATACTAAACTCTTTGGGATAAATCCAAAGTTGAACTGAAAGCTTATGGAAGCAAGCACATGTATCAGATATAGGGTGAAAAAGATTCAGATAAACAAACCAATGGTACAAATCAAGGAGCTAGAAAAACAAGAACAAAAGGAACCTAAGCTTAGCAGAAGAGAAGTAACAGAGATCAGACAAGAAATAAACAAAATGAAGAGACTATGAAACATAAATGAAACAAAGTTTCACAAAGCAAAACAAATGTTTAGCTACACTAACTGAGCAAAACAGAGAGAACACCAAAACAATTGAGAGGAGGAGGAAAAAAGGAGACACTAAAACGGATGTCACAGAAACAGAAGGTCAGGGACCGGTACGAAGAACCAGAGGCCAACAACATGGATGATCTAGAAGAAATGGCTAAATTCTGGCACATACAACCTACCTAAAGGGAGCCATGAACACACAGAAAACCTGAAAAGAACAACGAATTGCAAGAGAGACCCAGAGACACAGTCTCCTGAGGAGGAGCAGCCTGGGACCAAACCCTTCCCTGTGCGATTTTACCAAGCTTTTAAGGAACTGACACTATTTCTTTTCAAACTGCAAAGGAAAAAACAAAACAACAACAACAATGACAAAACCAAAACAAAACAGAAATAGAAGAAACCCTTCCATACTTATTCTATCAGGTCAATATTACTGCAATACAAAAATCAGACAAGGACAATGAAAACTACAAGAAAAAAAAAAGGAAGAGGAAATTACAGACCACTATCCCCTATGAAAACATACAAAAATTCTTTATAAAATAATAGCCAAAGATATTAAATATAAGATCCAAAAGATATATATATCTTATGATCAAGTGATGTTTACCTCAGGACTGCAAGAATGGTTTAACATATGCAAATCAAAAAACATAAGAATACATCACATCAATAGAATGAAAGACAAAAAAATTTTTAAAAACTTATGGTCATCTCAAATAAATACAAAAACAGCATTTGATAAAATCTGGTATCACTTGTGATGAAACTGCCCCCACCCCAATTACATATAGACAGAATGTGCCTCAGCGAAACATAACCCACAGCCAACAACTTACATGGGGCTGCGATTCTTTCCTATAGGTCAACAATGAGTAAGCAATCTGCATTCACCACTCTGCCTTAGTATTGGAAGTCTCACCCAGGGCAGTAAGATAAAGACTAAAGAGCATCTAAGAAAAAGGAGGAGCTAATTATCCCTGTCCACAGATGACATGATTTTACATATAGAGAAAAACTAAAGGCTCCATCAAAAACAAAGCAACCCATTAGAGGGATAAACTCAATAAGGTTGTGAGAGACAAAAATCGCACACAAAACCCAGATGCATTGTACATCATGAAACTTCTGGGAAAGAAATCAGGAAGCAATCTCACTCACAAGACCCCAAAATCATAAAACACTTAGGAAAAAACTTAACCAAGGAATCATGTGACCTCTACAATGAAAACCACAAAACCCTGAATAAAGAAATTGAGAGGGTACAGCTCAGTAGCATAGTGCTTCTGTGCCGTGTCTGAAGCCTTCACTCAACACCATCAAAAAGGGAAGAAAAGTTAGAGAGCACACATATACTGTGTGCACACACAGAGAAAGACGTTCCATGTTCATGAAAGAATTAATGTTGTTAAACTGTCCATACTACCCAAACTGAGTCTACAGATGTAATGTAATCCCTAACGAATACCACTGGCATTCTAAAGGAAGTAGAAAACAAAATACTCACTCTTAAAATTTGTGTGGAACCACAGGAGACTCTCCAGAGCAAAGGCAATTGTGAGGGAAGGGACAAAGGGACGGAGGGACAATTGTGAGCAAAGGGGTATAACCTGACTCTTAATTCCACAGAGCCATGGAACCAAAGCAGCAGTACTGACCCCTACACCAAGAGAACAGAATAGAGAACTGAGAATAAAAACCTGTCTTCAGCACTGACTTGCTACCAGGGCACATATCAGAGCAAATCGTCTCCTGGATACTTGGGAAAACTGGGTGTCCAAATGCAGGAGAAATAAGCCAGCACATCTCTCTCCATGTACGGAATCAACTTGGAGTGGAGGCTCGAATGTGAGACGGGAAATTATAAAATGACTAGAAGAAAGCAGACAGGAAAAGTTTTGTGACACTGGTCTCCAGGCGAGGGACACACACATCAAAAGCAGAGTTTGGAAACAGCGTTGTAGCAAACTTGGCAGCTTCTCCACACGGGTGTACTTGTACAGGCAGAGTAATGGCACAGTAGGAGAAGCATGACGGAGACCGATTGTGTATTTTATGATTGTATGCTGCGTAGAGAGGACCTGAAATGATCCCAGCATGAAGGAGTAAAAAGTGTGTGAGTTGATGGGGTGTGCCTGCTAGCCTGCTCTGTGTATGTGTATCAAGATACTGCATATGTCTTACAAATATATATGATCAACATGTCAGTTAAAAATATATGGGGTTGTCAAGAGAGCACACTCCAGCTCTTGCAGAGGACTGGAGTTCAGTTCCCAGCACCCATGTGAGAAGGCTTATAACCACCTGTAAGTCCAGTTCCAAGAATCTGAAGGACTCTTTTGGCCTCCATGGGCACCTATACTCACATGCAAATATGTACACACAGACATATACACACTGGAAGATAATAAAAATGAAGTTAGAAGTTAAGAATATATGGGGCTGGAGAGATGGCTCAGAGGTTACACTCTCAGCTCTTCCAAAGGACCCAGGTTCAATTCCCAGCATCCACATGGCAGCTTACAACTGTCAGTAATTCAAGTTCCAAGGGACCCAACATTCATGCCAAAACACCAAAACACATAAAATAAATGAATAAAAAAAAAACACACAAAGTAGGGCATAGTAACACATTCAGAGAGTCAGGGGAAGAGATTACCAAGTTCAATGCTAGTTTGAACTATATAGTGACACCCTGTCTCAAAAACAAAATAAAAACCCCAATAGAGGACTTAAGGTTTTAAGAAGCACACTTAAGTTTAACTTCATTGTTCTTCGGACAAATAATAGTTTTGTCTCTTGGCCAAGACCTAAGGTTACAAAAATATTTTCATTGCTTAGTTTGAATGAAAGAGGCCATATTTTTAATATCTTTTCAACCATATATATAGCTGATAATGAAACAGTATTTTATAATTTAGGAAACAATTATAAACTTAGCATTTATCAACAACAAAACTCACCACTAGCACTTGGGAAGCAGACGCAGGCAGATCTCTGTGAGTTTCAGACCAGCCTGGTCTACAAGAGCTAGTTCCAGGACAGGTTCAAAAGCTACACAGAGAAACCCTGTCTCAAAAAAAAAAAGAAAGAAAGAAAGAAAGAAAAAAGCTCACCACTAGATGTTGCAATTGTAGAGACTCTGGCCAAATGATTCATGTTTCAAACAGCTCAGCATAAGCACACACACAACACATGCACAAGCACAGACACACACACACACACACACACTCATTGTATCACTTCTTTTCCTCTATAGAACCCTGACTAACTTGACTACTGTGAAGTTAATGGGAACTACTACAGGGTGCTTGGGCATAGAACCGAGCCCTCCCTTTTTCCCCTTACATCATCACCCTGTTAGGGAATTTGGGATTTCACTGTTTTGTCTCTTACAACTCCACATCTTGTCTATGATGATCACAAAAGAAGAAGGAAAAGACAAAAAACGAGGAAGAGAGAAGTATGGTATATTGCCATCTGGTTTTTAAAGACACCAAATCTGCATGTGAATTGTGCATCTACCTACAGACCCAGAGAGAGACCACTGCTCTTGGATATTCACCAGCCCTAGATTAATACCATTTCCATCAGGTCACTATGCAAAAAATGGACCACTCACTTCTGAGCAGGAGAAGCGGTTAGAGACGGTACATGTACCGTTCCCAGTTCACCCTTCATAGCTGGTCAGCCTTGTGATACTGGCATTTCTCACTGGCAGGGTAACTTTGGTAGAGTGGGGACAAAATGGGCATGTCAAACCTAAAGCAACCAAGAGCAAGACACAGCAGGCCGGCCAGCCTAGCGAATGCACTCGAGGAGCCAGGAGCTGGGCCCCCCATCTCGGGGAAGAAGCAAGCATGTAGGGCACAGCGAATCTTACGGCTGGAGATGCAGTAGCTCAGTCTGCCATTGATCTTGCGGAACAACTGCTTGTTGATGGGCCAGAGGACCAGTGTGCAGAGTTGGATGGCGTTGACGATGAGTCCCGAGGCGATGAACACATAGCAGAAGACCAGGTGACACAGAAACTGGGACTTCAGCAGCCCGATGAGGTCCATGGCGTGGGGGACGCTCAAAACACACAAGTGTGTATGGTGGGATAGTTCCAGACGGGAGCAAGATCCGGGGCTCAGGAAAGTGTCTGAAACACACGAATGTTCTACATTAGCATAAGCACGGTGCACTCATATTAGAGACAGACCACACACTTACAGGAAGAATAGATGCTTGAAGTTAAAAGGTTGACTAATTTTTATTTAGTAGGCATTGATATGTCCTTGCCTCCTATTTGGCAGTCTAGTCCCTATGAGGGCAATCTTCCCTTGAATCCTCCCAGCAGCCTCTGGGGCTGGTCCTTTATAACAGGTTAGGAACTAGGCCTCCCAGCAGCCTCTGGGGCTGGTCCTTTATAACAGGTTAGGAACTAGACCTGAATAAGTGAACTGGCTAGACGAAGATCATTCAAGTCACCATTCAGACAGCAGCCATGGTGACTGGCATAGATTCCCAGACTCAAACTGAGTGGCCCCTTCCTCAGGTGACACAGCCCTACCCAGCCCAGCCCAGTCCTTCCCTGTCTCCCTCTGTTGGCTTTCCTATTGACCTTTCCTATTTTCCCTGACCTCAGGATTACCCTGGACACATTAGGGGGACACAGCTGGGCTTGGCTCTACCCTCAAGTGCCTTAGACTAGATCCCATTTCCCGCAGTGAACACCTCAATCTGCCACTAAGTTGCCTGCTGTCCTAGTTGGGACTGTCCAGTTCATCTTCTCTCCCAGTACCTTAGGCCAAGCTTCAGATGTGTGTGTGTGTGTGTGTGTGTGTGTGTCTGTGTGTGTATAAATAAATAATTTGTGAAGATATGTGCATATCCACCCCATAAGACTTGTTAATCAGTAACTCAGTCTGCACAGAAAGGCCAGACTCCTGGTGCCATTAACCAATCTCCAGATCTGGAACAAAAATTGAAATGAAAGCTGGGTGTTGGTGGTGCACGCCTTTAATCCCAGCACTCAGGAAGCAGAGGCAGGTGGATCTCTGGGAGTTCAAGGCCAGCCTGGCCTACAGAGCGAGTTCCAGGACAACCTCCAAAGCAATACAGACAAACCCTGTCTCGAAAAACAAAACAAAAACAAAATGAAATAACCTCACAGTTCAGCAGAAAGAGTTTTGGAAGATAGGGTGTAGGCAGGCTCACTTGTCCTAGGAGCCAAGATGACTGCAGACTACACAGAAAGCCTCAAATTTCAGAAGAAACTTCCACACAGTTGGCAGAGGCTAGAATCATTAATTTGTTATCACACAAAAGATGACTGATCTGTAGACGGTCATATCTATTAGCTTATCCTAGACTCCCAGGAATCCCCCGAGCGGAGGCTTTTGCTTTCAGACCCCAGGCTGACCTCCAATTCACCAAGTAACCAAGAATGGCGACCTTGGACTCTTGCTGCCACCTCCTGAATGCTGGGATCACCGCTGTGTGCCTCTGCACCAGATCCACGCACTTCTGGGGATGCAACCCAGGGCTTCCGGCATGCTGGCAAGGACCCTACCAACTGAACCATTTCAGAGCAAGGGATGGGGCAGTTCCTAGGCTGGGTGATGACACAAGATCGTGACAAGTAATGGCTGGCTTTAGGGCTTCCGTCTCTGTCCCCTGCACCTGTCTGGGATGTTCTGCCCCTAGGCTGTGAGGATGGCAGTCTCCTGGACTCAGAACACTTCTCAGAGAAGCAGCTCACACAGTTCCCAAAGGGCAAGAGGCAAGAGACGGCCTGCAGTGAAGTCAGAGTCACAGAGGACACTCAGGGTGGGAAGGACGGACTCAGTCTCGGGTCAGCTGCGCTGACTTCAAGATGATCGTGGCAATGAGGAAAGGCACGGGAGAAATACTGATACTTGCTAAGGATTTCAGGGAGGTGCCAGCAACCCTGCACGATTCCCACGCCTCTCTGGAAGGAGCGAGATGTGTGGGGAGAGCAGGCCCAGGTTCCTAGCCATCAGCCTGGCATAGCAGACACGCTATGTCACGGTTGTCCCACTCTGGCTTTCGGGTTGCAATCTGGAATTGCTGCATCTCGGTCCTTCCCACATTTTGCTCCAGACATTTCCAGCCTGTGAGACTCCCCCTCCATGGTTTCAACACACCCAGTCTCCCTCTCTCTGTGGTGCTGTAACACGGAACTAGCAGCCTGCTCTCCTCTAACTTGACTTTAGTGGCCACACACACAGGGGGTGACTTTCACTGGGTACAGCCTGGCAACACTCCGGGAATATATTCACCGACCCGCATTAACCACAGATTGCTTCAAAACAATCTGGGCACAAGTTTAATTCTTCATTGGGTTCCAGGGAGTCCAACACTGTATTTGACAAAGGCTTTGCCTTGAGGACTGGACACTTAGAAAGGGCAACCGGCTGGTAAGCGATGTATGGGGATTAAATATTGCCTACCTTGCTGTCCTGCTCAATGCCAGAAACTAAGTTTTCTTTCCCTGCTGTCAAATCCCAAGGACTATCACACCCTCTGGTAAACCTCCTCTACTGACATACTAGCCAGCGTCTAACATTGTGTCAGCAATGTTAAGAGACACCATACATATAGACAAGTCCTCAGAGGAACCAGAGAGGTTCTCTTGGCTTCTGTTGGTTGTGTTGTTAACGGCCACATACGTTGTCACGTGTGCGACAGTATAGGTATAGGCTTGGGGGGTTTCCGTGGGAGGCTTGGATTTGAAGCTGAGATCTACCGTGGCTACTCCGTTTTAATCAAAATTCTAAGGGAGATAATGTTTCTTGGCTCTGTGGAACTTAATTTGACTTCTGCAGTCTGGATAGGGTTTGTCCATGTTCTAGATGCTTGGCCCTCAGGATGCTGACGCTCAGGTGGCAGAAGTTCTAATACATGGGGCCCAGGGGAAGGCGGCCAGGTCAGGGAACGGCCCTTGGAAGAGATTAGCATTCTGAGATTAGCATTCTGTTTCATGGAACAGGTTAGTTCTCCGGAGAGCTCTCACTCTCTGGTTTCCTGTCTTGACGGGCAGACTTTGGTCTTCACATGAGGTTACCTGCCATCATGAGGTTACCTGCCATCATGAGGTTACCTGCCATCATGAGGTTACCTGCCATCATGAGGTTACCTGCCATCATGAGGTTACCTGCCATCATGAGGTTACCTGCCATCATGAGGTTACCTGCCATCATGAGGTTACCTGCCATCATGAGGTTACCTGCCATCATGAGGTTACCTGCCATAATGCCAGCACCATGTGCTGGCTCATCTTACGTCAACTTGACACACAAACTCGTTATCAGACGAGGAAACGGCCTCCTTGAGATCCAGCTGTAAGGAGTTTTCTTAATTAGTGATTGATGGGGGAGGGCCCAACCCATGGTGGACGGTGCCATCCCTGACTGGTGGTCCTGAGTTCCCTAAGAAAGCAGACTGAGCAAGCTATGGGAAACAAGCCAGTAAGCAGCGCCCTCCATGGCCTCTGTATCAGTTCCTATCCTGTTTAAGTTCCTGTCTTGACTTCCTTTGATGATGAACAGCAATATGAAATGTAAGCCAAATAAGCCCTTTCCTCCCCAACTTACATTTGGGTCCTAGTGTTTCATCATAGAATAACAATAGAAACCTTACATTTGGGTCCTAGTGTTTCATCACAGAATAGCAATAGAAACCTTACATTTGGGTCCTAGTGTTCCATCACAGAATAGCAATAGAAACCTTACATTTGGGTCCTAGTGTTCCATCACAGAATAGCAATAGAAACCTTACATTTGGGTCCTAGTGTTCCATCACAGAATAGCAATAGAAACCTTACATTTGGGTCCTAGTGTTCCATCACAGAATAGCAATAGAAACCTTACATTTGGGTCCTAGTGTTCCATCACAGACTAGCAGTAGAAACCCTAACTAAGATGGCTAAAGCCAAGGAGAGGTAAGCAGCATGCTACAGAAGCCCCAGAACTGAAAACAGGCAAATCTCTTTTCTTGATACATTATCCAGGTATTTGGTTTTAGAGATGGAAAATAACCTAATACAGAGTTTATCAAAACGTAAAATGAAGAACAAGGTGAGAGAGGGGAAGAGAGCTCAGGAGAGAGACAGGGAGAGCTCGGGAGAGTGAGCTAAATCATTAACAATCATGGTATGAATGCTAGTTCCAAATAGAAGCTTGGGGACTTGCCATTCCGAATTAAAAGGAACTCTTTCTCCTAATGTGGCAATTAACCAACTTCACATCAGGCCAAAAAAAGATAGTATAAATATCTAAACAGAGACAAAAATAGCTAGTGAGAAAATACTGTGAGATACTTTGCCTATTTTTATTTTGGCTTGGAGGTCTCCTTAGAATGTGTGGAAAATTGCTGGGCATTGGTGGCGTTCGCCTTTAATCCCAGCACTCAGGAGGCAGAGGCAGGTGGATTCTCTGCAAGTTCGAGGCCAGCCTGGTCTACAGAGCGAGTTCCAGGACAGCCTCCAAAACAATACAGAGAAATCCTGTCTCAAAACCCACCCCCCCCAATAAAAAAAAAGAAAAAAAAGAATCCCAGTAGTCTATTATGGTACGAGGCAAGGCTGTGACAGAACTGTACCCTACTCCGGAGACTGTCCAAGCAGTAACTCGTGGGATGCAGAGACCAACACCTACCTCCCATGCTGTTTCTAAGCTATACCCCTGTAAACAAAGATGCACGTGATCAGCTCAGTGACAGTGGCTTAACCTCCTCAGCCTTCAGTTTCCCCATACATGAACCAGCATGAGGCAGTCGTAAGGAGTGACATGGTAGACAGAGAGTAGATAGAAAGATGACAGGCCGTAGTAAAAGCAATCGTTTATAGATGATAGATCAGGGATGGGTAGACATAGATTGGGGGTAGAGAGGTGATTGATCAGTAAAAGATTTCCAAATAGATGATACATTCATAGGTGGTAGTACATCAATGATAGGTGATAGATGGTAAATAGAGAGATAAATAGATAAATGATAGGTGATAGATGTTAAATAGAGAGATAAATAGATAAATGATAGGTGATAGATGGTAAATAGAGAGATAAATAGATAAATGATAGGTGGTAGATGGTAAATAGATAAATAGATAGATGTATAGATGTTAGGTAATACATATAG